GCAGCTGTACGAGATTCCGCTCAAGACGGTGCTCCGCCAGGTTCTTAGTCTTCCTTCAACCACTGCCCTTCCTCCTGGCTCGCCGCTTCCTGTCCCGTCTCGTTACACTGAGCAGTCGGTCTCCATTACAGAGCGTCGTTAGCTTGCGTCTCGTCCTGTCTCCCCTGTTCGCGCTGTTCGCACCGCTCGTCGTGTCCCGCGTCCGCGTCCTCCTCCTGTCCAAGGCACTCATACAATGGCACTTCGTCCTTCCTCTGCTCCACAGCGCGTCCCTCTGCCGTCTCCTCCTGCGTCCTCTCTTCCTGAGATTCCTGACCCTGAGTCTGACCGTGTTCGTGCTGCTAGCCCCACAGTCACGCGTCTCCTGGCTACTGTTGTCACTGACCCGTCGTTTGAGTCCACTGCTGCGTCTGCCTTAGTTGCTGAGCTTGTCGACTTTGATGTGGCGTGTCGTCTAGACTACGCCGCCAGTCTTGTTGCAGAGTCTGAGTCTGTCTGTCCTCCGTTCGTCGGGGGTGAGTGTGCTCTTAGCACGGACGTCCTTGAGGACAGGCAGGAGGAATTTGAGTCTAATGCGGCTGTTGTACCTCATCTCGAGGCCATGCTGCTTGCCCTTGAGGGAGACCCGGATGCACTGGACATCCCGACCCCGCGCTCTTACGTAGAGGCGATCTTGGGTCCCTATTCCTCTCAATGGCAGACAGCCATGGACGCATAGATGGCATCCTGGAAGTCCACAGGCACCTACATCGACGAGGTTCCCCTTCCTAGGCGAACATGGTCGATGGCATGTGGATTTTCAGGGTGAAGCGGCCGCCGGGTTCTCCGCCTGTCTTCAAGGCTTGTTACGTTGCACGAGGCTTCAGTCAGCGGCAGGGAGTTGACTTCTTCCAGACCTTCTCCCCTACCCCAAAGATGACCACTCTTCGGGTACTACTGCACGTTGCCGCTCAGCGTGACTACGAGCTTTACTCTCTTGACTTCAACAAAGCTTTCTTGTAGGGCAACCTGCACGAGGAGATCTAGTTGCGCTGTCCTCCTAGCTTCACTAGATCTCTAGTGGGGGTACCTAGTGGAGCCTCCGAAGGCAAGTCTACAATCTCCGTTAGGCGCCTCGTGAGTGGCACGACACACTGAGGATGACACTTGCGGCTCTTGGGTTTGCTCCTTCGATTGCTGACCCGTCGCTGTTTCTGCGCATCGACACTTCGCTGCTGCCGTTCTACATCCTCGTGTACGTCGACGACTTGGTCTTTGCCACTGGTGACACTGAGGCACTGGCTCTTGTGAAGTTGGGGCTCCAAAAGAGACACACTTGCACCGACTTGGGTGAGCTGCGCAGCTACCTTGGCTTGCAGATCACCTGGGACAGAGCACGCCGCACCATTCCCCTGACCCAGTCACACATGGTGCAGCAGGTCCTTCAGCGCTTCGACTTCCAGTTCTCCTCACCACAGTCCACTCCTCTGTCTACCAGCCTGACTCTCGTTCTCAGCTCCACCTTCGGATGAGTCCGTAGAGTCGAGTGGCCCGTATCCAGAGCTTGTGGGCTGCCTCATGTACCTGATGACCTGCACGCGACCTGACCTTGCGTACCCTCTTAGCATCCTAGCTCGCTACGTTGCGCGTGCGAGACACCGGCGAGAGCACTGGGAGGCTGCTAAGAGGGTGCTACGCTACTTGTGCAGTACATCAGGCATGGGGCTGGTGCTTGGAGGACGGGGTGACGTTGTCCTCACTGGACACTCAGACGCCTCTTGGGTTGACAACCTTACTACAGAGCGGTCGTCACAGGGTTATACCTTCAGCCTTGGTTCCGGCTCTGTCTCTTGGCGGTCTACTCGCTCTTCTTCTGTTCTCAGCTCCAGTTGTGAGGCTGAGATCTACGCCATAGCCATGGCTGCACAGGAGCTTCGCTGGCTCACCTACCTGCTGACTGGCTTGGGAGAGCGGCCTCGTTCTCCTCCAGTTTTGTACGTCGACAACAAGGCGGCCCTCGCCTTGTGTCAGGAGCACAGACTGGAGCACAAAACAAAGCACATCGCTCTGCGTTACTTTCTTGCTCGAGAGCTGCAGTCGCGTGGCCAACCTCATCTTTCTTACGTGGACACGCGGGCCAACACAGCTGATATATTCACCAAGGCGTTTCCGCCTAGTGATCATCAGCGTCACTGCACTGCTCTAGGCCTCGTGCCTACGTTCTCTCACTTGCTCACTGCTTGACCTTGCTTGTACTGTGATCGATTTATTTCCTTGCATGGTTACATTTGCTAGGTTGTGATCTTTGTACTACTTGCTTTGTTTTATATAACTCTGCATGTGGACTGTGTCAGAATCCCAGCCACTAACCACTACAAGGATAGAAGGGCTTGTTTGTGTAGCGGGTGAGTGCGCTCATAACCCCCCCTGGCCAACGAGCCTGTAACCCTTCCCTAGGATCAATCGGGGATCACCAGTGGACCTCTGACACCCCCCCGCACTGGGATGCCCGAAGTGCACACACCGGGATTCGAACCCGAGACCTTCGCTCTGATACCATGTCAGAATCCCAGCCACTAACCACTGGGATAGAAGGGCTTGTTTGTGTAGCGGGTAAGTGCGCCCATAACCCCCCAGGCCAACGTGCCTGTAACCCTTCCCTAGGATCAATCGGGGATCACCAGTGGACCTCTGACAGATTGGCCTTATGGCCCTTTGCTTGCGATCAGAATATGTGGTGACTTCGTAATCCACCCTGAGCTTGCTTTGCTTGTCTGTAACAACTTGTGCTCCCCCACCTTGCCTTTGGGGGTGTGTCAAAACTTTGTAGTGTGTAGGCTGTAGTGGGGTAGCCTATATGGGGTACAACCCAGTTTAGGGTTAGGGTACATTCCTGTATGGACATTTGTGTCTTTATGCCCCTTTTCCCGAGTCGCGTGGAAACATTTGGGCAATCTTGCGTCACAAAAAAAGAATGTATCGCGACACTTCGCGACCAAGCGAAATGTAAATTTCTGCGCATTTGATTGGGTGACATGAATGATTGTACACCCATTTTCTCAACCGATTGGTTGGGGTTAGGTTTCGACGCACAAGATTGTTTCCCGCGCGAAATTGACATTGTGGGCTGTCCACGTACATTGACATTGCGAACCGCGTGCGATTTTAAAAAAATGACGGGTCGACTTGCAATTCGTCGGTGACGTCAGCCCATTTCACGCTGCTGACCAATGAAAAATACAGTACCGGTCCCTCAAAAGCAACTCGCGTTTGGGACACACTACAGTTTATGTTGTTTTTGGGTGTCACAAAGCGATTCTGACACAAATGTCCACACAGGAATGTACCCTTAGTACTTGTACCAAACACTGTCATAGTCCATTCATTCCTGCCGTTCATCCTGACAGTGATCAGTGTCCAGTACAGGCCAACGAAGATAACGAAATGTGACAGATGGAAATAGATTCATTGTAAATTACGCTCTAATTTAGTCGGCGGTCTCACTCTCGCAGATGACTTTCAAAACAAAAGTGCATTTGCCGTGAGAGTGCACTCTACTAATTCATGTGAAGAAACACATTGATTTTCGTGAAGAAAACCGGTACCGTCTATTCCCATGGGACTTATATGCGGGGGGGATGTACGCTTAATATGGTCTAAACTGTGAGGGCCCTCCTTTTGCTTTTAAATATTTTAAGACCTCCCTCTTTGGTGTAGACTGTACATTTCCAGTGCTTTACTATATCGGCGAATCAGTTTGTAGGAGTATAGGGGGAAAATCTGACGCGGTCAATTGGTCAGACTCGAAGTCTGACGCATTGACCGTGTCAGATCGAAGGTTCAGGGTATGTAACTTTTTCGATTTGTTAAGTACGGACGTCTGGCCCGTACGTACTTGGTAAGGGTTACTGATTCGCTAATATTCGTCTACAAAATTCGCTAGAATCCCTGCGACGTCGCCAACGTCCGTACCACAACTGCCACTTTCACGCCTCTCACTCGTCCGTTCAGCTGTCCTGACAGAGTCCGGACATCCGTCCGTACTGTCAAACGTCTCTGACACCCCATTGGCGCGCGAAAGAAGAAATGCAGAAGTCATTGCGGCTCGATTTCCATGCACAAAAATCTGTCGCCACGACGCGCCTCATACACATTTGGAGGGAGCACAAATTTCTCCAACGTCCACTTTCCCATCCACCGCATACCACACAAGCACTACAAAATGAGTTCAACCCAGCATCAAAACACAACACCAGGGCGACTTTGACGAGGGGGGTAGCGACAGTGGTATAGTGTGTAACTTGTCGCATGCTTTTCAAATTTCGAAAGCATAAAATGTTCCACAAATGTGGTACGTACGGCACAATGTCCGTACCACACTCCCCAACGTACGGACGGGGCACAGACCGTACGTTTGGTAGGCTCCGAACGTACTTTAAACGAAAACTGAAAAAGTTACACGCCCTTATGCGGGGATTTCAGCGATTTCTCTTTAGTTGGGCTCGATTTGGGTCTGAAAAACCTACTTAATAGAGAAAAACAATCCCTTATGAGTGAAACAGATGTCTGGGGATAAATTTCCACCCTCCAAGTCCTCTGGGTCTTGTATCCGGGAATAGACGGTATGACACATCGTGCTGATTACATATTCAGCACCAGCGGGATTTGTTAGCTGCCACATTGTCCTCTCCCCTTCTCTTGTGGAAAAATGCATGCAGAAATGAAGTCCTAAACGACGCACACTGATGAACTTTTCTAGCAATGTTGGTGGTACTGTGACTGAATAAAAACAGCTCTTGCAAGCAGGATGAGATGACAGCCGCACTTGTAAGCGACGAGAACGGTCCAGTCCAGCTGCATGCAATGGCTGGTTGTGAAGTGGTGCTTTACTGTTCTTCTTCCTGCAGGCGAGAGAGACTGCCGGAAGCCGCACTCGTAAGTGACGAGGACAGCGCACCTGCTTGTGATGGTTAAGAACTGGAGAAAGTCTTTCTAATCACACTGGCGGTTCTGCTTTGGTATCAAAACAGCTCTTGCAGGCGAGAGGAGCTCCCAGCAGCGGCACTTGTAAGTGATGAGAACAGCCCAGCTGCCTGCGACGGCTGGTTGAACATCTCCTGTAGGTTTGAAATGTTGCGCGTGACTTGGCTGCCATCCCCGAGAATTGACCCCAGTTTGACCTGCACTCAGGTGGGAGCAACGGGGGATAATCGTAAGCTGAGGCCAATGCGGCATCGAAAGGGGGGCAGGTAGCAGAAAACACACACAGAATGCCTGGAAGCAAATAATAATTTTACAGAAGTCCTTATCAGAGGTAATGAAACAGAATGCGGTAATTACCTGACCCATAAGTGACTTGAAAATGGGTGTAGCAGAAAGCCCCGTCGAATCTGCGAACGAAAACGCCCCTCCAAGAGCCCCATCTTCTCCCCAAGCACCGCTACCCACTCCTCCAAACCCACCACCACTGACACCACTTGCTGCTGCAGCCGCCCCTGCCCCTGCCCCACTAGGTACTCGGGAAACTGGAGCGCCACTGTTGCTGCTGGAACCAGAAACGGATAGCGAGACATCTCCAAAGGTGGATGGACGGCGGGGCTTACCGCCAGGTGCCAGCCCGCCATTGGCTAGAAGAGGCGAGCTGGGGGTAGGGAGGGGTTTGGGGGAGGGGAAAGGAGGGGAAGAAGCGAAGGTGTGTCGTGACCGGGTTCTCACAAAGAGTGCCGGCGCTGCTGCCGCCGCCACCCTCACCACCTGCTGCTGCTGCAGCCGCTCCTGCCCCTGTCCCACTAGGCACACGGGACACTGGAGCGCCACTGTTGCTGCTGGAACCAGAAACGAATAGTGAGACATCTCCAAAGGTGGATGGACTGCGGGGCTTACCGCCAGGTGCCAACCCACCATTGGCCAGAAGCAGGGAGCTGGAGGAAGATGGGGGTGAAGGGGAGAAAGGGGCTTTTGAGGCGCCTTAAATAATGCTTTCTGCCAGGTGGCAGCCCGGTATTGGTCAGAAGAGGCGAGCTGGGGAAAGGGGGATGGAGGGGAGGGGAAAGGGAGGGGGTGGGGGAAGGGAAGGGGGGAAAGGGAGGGGATGGGGGGAGGGAAGGGGGGAAAGGGAGAGGGGAAAAGGAAAGGGGGAAACGGGAGGTTGGGAGGAGGGTCAAAGATGGTTGAGGTTAAGGGAGGGGGAAGGAGGGTGTAGGGTGGCATAATGGCGGTGGGGTGCAGATTTCTATCTGAAGCTACACTCATATCACAATTGAATTTGCTTTTGATGCGCCTCATAAATAGTATTTATATCACCATAAGCTTGCATTTTGAGAGGAAGGCGAAGGGGCAGCGCCAAGAGTGTTGGCGTCTGTGGCGTAGGGATGGTGCGGTGTAGAGTTGGTACAAATGACATGAACATTACAAGAAAGACAGCAATCTAACTTATGGGCAGGAAGGTGAAACGTGGAACAGTGGGAGCAGTATCCAGGGTGTTGGCGTCTGTGGCGTAGGGATGGCGCGGTGTAGCATTGATGTAGAGGGGACCTACCAAGGAAGACCACACTTTACCTTATGGGCAGGAAGGTGAAGCGTGGAACGGTGGGAGCGGTATCCAGGGTGTTGGCATCTGTGGCGTAGGGATGGCGCGGTGTAGCATCGGTGTAGAGGCGATGCAGCTGGGCCAAATGACCGAAGAGCACTGCTGAGCGCAGGTAGAAACGCTGCTGGTTCTGCCACAGGAAAGGCAGGTAGCTGGGGTGGAACAAGGGAGAGGGAGGGGCGAGAGGGAGGGGGAATGGGGAGAGGGAAAACGTGAGGAGTGTTTTACAGCTGAGTCAGATGGCCAAAGAACACTGCTGCACCAGGGTGTAGAGTAAGTAGGATGCAGAGTGCAGCATCGGTGTAGAGGCCATTCAGCTGAGCCAGATGGCCGAAGAGCATAGCTGAGAGCAGGTAGAATTGCTGCTGGTTGGGCCACAGGAAGGGCAGATAGCTGGGAAGTGGGGAGGGGAGGGGGGAGGAGGGAAGAGCAGATATGTGTGTGGGCTGTACACCGTTCTAATATAAGCATACAGGGTGTCGTTCAGTGCACCCCACCTGCATTCCTCAAACGACTCATGCGGCCCTATCCATGGGGTCCAGCTCCCCCTGACTTCTGAGTCGACTCAAAAGTCACCTCGTCCCCCTGCAGCTTGTCCAGCAGCGCTGCCACTCTTTCATTCAGACCTGGGAGCTCGCTGCATGTGTGCACAAGGAGTCAGTGCAACTCACACGGCCCTGTCGTTGGGGTCCAGCTCCCCTTGCAGCTTCTCCAGCAGCAGTGCTGCCATGCCACTCGTCAACGATAACAAGTTGGCAGCACAGCATGTGCACGGGGGACCAATGGAACTCACGCGGCTCTGTCGATGGGGTCCAGCTCCTCCTGCAGCTTCTCCAGCAGCGCTGCAACTCGTTTCTTCCTCGCCGCAACCGACACACCAATGCTCCCCGCCCCTGCCCCTGCCCCTGCTCCCCCTCCTGAACCCGCCCTTGCTACAGCCCCCCCTGCTGCCCCTGCCCCAGCTCCCCTGTTCGCTGCTGCCCCTGCTCTTGCTCCCCCTCCTGCACCCCCTTGTGCTGCTGCCCCTGAGATCGCTCTGAGTGCTTCCAGAGGCAACTCCGCCCCTCCTGAGAGCACGTCTGACAGCAGGCGCGCGTCAAAGAGCAGCTGCAGCACTCCCTTCTCTGACGCACGTTTAGTGCTGGCAAGTGCCTCGTAGGCGGCCAGAACCTGAAGGGATGGGCATGAGGGAGGAGACGCAAAGGGGCGAGAGGGATGTGTGCGAGCAGGCGAGCGTTGCGACAAAGAGCAGAGCAGCTGCAGCACAGCACGCCTTCATGGCGAGTGGAGGCAAGCGCCTTGTGCGCACCCAGGAACTGTTGGGAGGGGAGGGGGGAAGGCAGGGAGGCAGGGAGGGGAGGGACGAAGGGAGGGCCGCTAAGTGAAGAGCCAAGCAAACAGCACCACTGAGCCCAACCCCCCCTACTGCTCAGCACAGGTCCTGCCTGGTTCATTTCTTTAGGCACGCACCCTCCTACAGTTCAGCACACCTGGTTTGAGAGCTCCCAGGCAAACAGCCTGAGGACTAGCCGGTCGAGGGAGTGGCAGCCCACACGGTGCACATCGGCTGATGCAGCAAAGAGCAGTGAAGAGAAAAGAGCAGCACCGGCCCTGGAACCCTGTGTCTCCTAGCTTTGCCCCATCCACCCACCTGGTCTGATAGTTCCCAGGCAAACAGCCAGAGGACTAGCCGGTCGAGGGAGTGGCAGCCCACATGGTGCACATCAGCTGATGCAGCAAAGAGCAGTGGAGAGCAAAGGGCAGCACCGACCCTGGAACCCTGTGTCTCCTAACTTTGCCCCATCCACCCACCTGGTCTGATAGTTCCCAGGCAAACAGCCTGAGGACTAGCCGGTCGAGGGAGTGGCAGCCCACACGGTGCACATCGGCTGATGCAGCAAAGAGCAGCGACGCCACGTAGGGCGAGGGGCATGCTGGGAGGGTCATTCGCATCTCCACCTTGGCCTCGCCCTCCTCCCCCTCCTGCTGCACCACCGTCTCCTCCCAGCCCTGCAGGAAAGGCACGTAGGGCAGGGAGACACAGGGGAAGGGTGGGGCGTACAGAGGGGCAGGCTGGGAGCGTCATTCGCATCGCCACCTTAAACTTGCCCTCCTCCCCCTCCTGCTACACCACGGTCTGTCTCTTCCCAGCCCTGTGGGGGAGAGCACATGGAAGGGTATGGGGATTAAGAGGGGTGAGAGGGAGAGAGGGAAAGGGATGAGGGGATAGAAGTTAGGGAGGTTAGAAGCCTAGGAGGGTCATTCTCATCTCCACCTTGGCCTCGCCCTCCTCCCCTTCCTGCTGCACCACTGTCTCTTCCCAGCCCTGGAGAAAAGGCACGTTTAGGGCAGGAAGAAACAGGGGAAGGGTGGGGCGTACAGAGGGGCGAGCCAGGAGGAAGGGTGGGGCGTACAGAGGGGCGAGCCAGGAGGAAGGGTGGGGCGTACAGAGGGGCGAGCCAGGAGGATCATTCGTACTGCCACCTTCGCGTCCGCCCTCCTCTCCCTCGGCTGAGCAGGGTGTGGGATATGAAGAGGAAAAGTTGAGAGCTGGCCGGGTAGTTCTGGCTTGCTGGCTGGGTGAGATTTCACTCCTGGGATGCGCGTGCTTCCCACCCAGTGCACCAAGGCTCAAGGCTGGGGTTCCATTCCAAAGAAGCCCGTCCGTACCTTGAGTTGAGCCTTGAGGGGAGTGGTGGCGTGGCGGTGAGAGCTGGGTCGTGCATGAGATTGCAGAGAGAGGAACTGCGGTGGGTAAGGTTCAATTCAACCAGTGCTGCACAGCACAGTGCACTGGTTGGGGTTCCAAAGAAGGCTCGTGCCTCGAGGGGAGAGGGAAAACCTAACTCGAACGAACGAGAACCGAACCTTGAGGGGAGTGGCGGTGGTGAGAGCTGGGTCATGCATGAGATTGCGGCGGAAAGCCGAGGCGAGCAGGCGGGTGCTGTGAGTCACCCAGTGCGAGTGGGCCAGAATGCTCAGCCGCCGCAACTCCCTCTGAAAAAAACAGGGGGGGATGGATGGTGTAGTGGGAGGGGAAGAAGCGCACAAGCAGTGAGAGAAAGCATCTTAGGCAACGCATCTTGGGAGAGCAGCTTGGGGTTGGAAGCAAGATACCCAAGGGTGGAGGTGAAAGCAAAAGCAGCAACTGCAAATGGATGGAGGGGAGTGGGGGGCACGGCACGGCAGAGGGACGACAGATAGAAGTTACAACGAAATGACTCACTTGAATCTCATGTAGCCCAGCAAACTCAGCTGATCTCGCCGCAACAGCAGCAAGATCCGTCATTCTCCTCCCACCCCTCCTGCCTGAACCCCCTCCCACTCCTCCTAACCCCACACCACCACCACCCATCCAGCTCAACCCACCACCACCGCCACCGCTACTCCCGCTGCTACCACTGCCCCCTCCTGCCACTGCTGCTGCGATAATACTCCCCACAACCTCCTCAGAGGGCCACTGCAGCACCAGCTCCCCAGCCCTCGCCCCATCCCTCTCAGCATCCCCATTATAAACCGCCCCAGTACTAGCTTCTGAGGCTACTCCAGAAGCAGTTGATTCAGCCGAAGCAGCGGTAAAGCCGCCTGCTGTAGCGGCAGCAGCTGCCGCTACAGCCGGCCAGGTGGAACTAGGGCCAAGCGCCACAGCTAGGGAGGAGGAACTCTGCGCTACAGCCGCCGCCAGCCGGCCAATCAGAAGAGCCTGTTCGACCGCCACTTGCGCGGATAACCTCCCAGCAGCATTTGCTGCATCTGGGCCGTTGGATCGTGATCCTGCATCCAACACTCCTCCTGACCCATTTCCTGTTCGTTCCCCTGCTGCTGTTGCTGCCGCACTTTCCGAACTGTTCTCAACACTCCCGTTCTCTCGTACTCCTCTCCTTTTCCCCTTCTCCGTCTCCTCACCTTGCTCTGCCTCCTCTGCCTGCTGCTGCTGCTTCTGCAGGTCGCAGAGCCTGCTTGCCAGCAGCCTAACCAGCCGCATCACACACTCCTGGCACCGATCCTGCAGGTACGGGGCCAACTCCTTGGTTCGGGACGCCGCCGAAGCTGCCGAACCAGCGGCGGCAGAGGCGGGAGCAGAAGAATCCAATGACGAGGAGGAGGAGGAGGAGGAGGTGGTGGAGGGATGGGCAGAGGGAGCGAGTGCAGAGTGAGGGAGGAGGAGAGTGAGGGCATCTAGCAGAATCTCCTGAATTTTGGAGTGTAGCTGTTGCCATACCACCGCTACCTGCGGCTCATACACTTGCGTGCCACGCAAAACTGCCTCTCCGTTCCCCCGCCGACCCTCCTTCCCACCCTCTTTCCCACCCTCCTTCCCCTCTCCACCTGCTCCTCCTGCTCCTCCACCTTTACCCAGCCCCACCGCACCCAACTCCTCTCCCGGGCTGCCCCATACTGCCTCCCCAACAGCAAACCCGCCTGTCTCTTCAAACCCTGCTTGGCCTATAACGTCAGTGAGAGGGGGTAGTGTCGCCCAACCTGCCCCGAACCTCCTGCCTCCTCCTGCCAAACCTGCTGCTTTCTCACTGGCAATAGCACGAGCAGCAGCCGTAACAACAGCAGCACCACCACCTGCAGCGCCAGCACCAGCAGCACCAGCACCAGCACCAGCAGCAGCAGCAGCAGCATTCTCTGCTGAAACCACCGCTGCCACAGCCACCACATCCCCAACCTCCCTCAGCACCCCATCAATCTCCTCCCTCAGCGTCAATCCTGCAAACGCCTCGTCAATAATCTCCCGCGCTCTAAGTGCGAACGCGGCCTCAAATAACTCGCTCCATAGGTCCTTAGGCTCTTTCAGTAGCAGCTCGCACAGGGCGCGCCAGGGGGATTCAGGGGGAGAGCCGAAGGCTGACGTCAGCCAGTCCAGGCTGGCAGCGAAGATGTCCTTGTTGGTGATCGCTGCACGCGTGGCGGCCTCTGCTTGCGCCAGGTGGCGGATCTGGGTCACCCTGCTGAGAAGGTTCTTGGACTCGGCTGGAGGGAAGATGGTAGGAGTGAGGAGTGAGGGGAGTGAGGAGTGAGGGGAGTGAGGAGTGAGGGGAGTGCGGGAAGAGTGGGAGAAAAGGAGGAAATAAGCTGTGCTCCCTGCCCGTCTTTCAATTTCAGTCAAGTCAAATGTCATAGAGATTAAACAAGGCAGGCGGGCTTGCAAAGCAGGTTCTTGAATGCAGCTGGTGAGAGGCTGGGGAGTGTGGGTGAGGTGGGGTGGGTTCTTCTATAAAGCGAGAGTATGCCACCCAGACTCACCAGCGATGTCAGCAGCACAAGCCTTGAGCCACCCGTGGCACGCCTGTGCCATTTCCTTGCTGTCTGGGTGGGGTATGCCCCTCTCAAATCGGAACTCACCAGCCATGTCAGCAGCGCACGCCTTGAGCCTTGAGCCTTGAGCCACCCCTGGCACGCCTCAAAGAAGGCAGGCGGGCTTCCAGCGCGTCCCTGTGTTGGTGCCAGAGCGCCAGCTCCCTGTCGGGCTGAGTGGGGTATGCTCTTCCCAGAAACGAGAGTATGCCTTCCATACTCACCAGCAATATCAGCAGCGCACGCCTTAAGCCAGTCTTGGCACGCCTCTGCCACCTCCGTGCTGCTCAAAGAAGGCAACCGGGCTTCCAGCGCGTCCCTGTGTTGGTGCCAGAGCGCCAGCTCCCTGTCGGGCTGAGTGGGGTATGCTCTTCCCAGAAACGAGAGTATGCCTTCCATACTCACCAGCAATATCAGCAGCGCACGCCTTGAGCCAGTCTTGGCACGCCTCTGCCACCTCCTTGCTGCTGAGAGACGGGAGCCTCGCCTCTAGTGCGTCCCTGTGTGTGTGCCAGAGGGCCAGCTCCCTGTCGGGGCGTGGGATGCCGCCAAACAGCTGCGCCTGCGGTGCTCCCTGCAGCAGCACCCCCAGCAGCACTGCTCGTTCAGCTGAAGAAACCTCCAGAAACAGCTGTCCCGTCTGGCACAGCGTGAGCTGGTGGCGGTGGCGAGCGGGAGGGAAATGGGGGGTTTGGGGAATAGATTTCGAGGTTTAGGGGATTTTGAGGTTTGGGGGCGGCAGGTTGCTCCCTACAGCAGCACCCCCAGCAGCACCGCCCTTTCAGCTGAGGAAAGTTGCAGGAAAAGCTGCCCCGTCTGGCACAGGGTGAGCTGACGAGAGGAAAGCGGGGCAGAGGGGGTTGGGAGTTTTGCGGGACAGTAGGAAGGTGTGAAGGGAGGTGGTTGGTTGGGAGGTCTGAAAGGAAGGAGCGAGGAATGCTATTAGCAGGTACGGTATTGAAAGGAAGTAGTGAAGAGAGAAGGGAGGGGCATGAAGAAAATCCCGGCTACGTGAACTGCCTGCTGCCGTTGCCATACCTGCTGCTAAAACTGGTATACCTGCTACCGCTGATATACCTCCTGCCGCTGGTATACCTGAATCATAGCTACCAGCTGGCTGAGCAGTGTTGCTAGCGCATCAGCAAAACTCCCCCCAGCGCCCAGAGCTAAGGTGGCAGAGGCGAGCTGCATGAGGGGGGAGTGGAGAGCGTGGAAGGATGGAACGAGATGGGAGGAAGCAACCTTTCAAATCGGTCAATGCTAGCTCATTCGCGAAGCTGGCCCCCCTAGAACTGATGTGAAAGAGGCGAGCTGAAACAGGAAGGAGTGGAGGGACGGCGGGCATGAGAGGGGTTGGGAGGGGTTGGGAAAGGATGAGAGGGGATGACAGGGGGTGGGAGGGGACTGGTTTGCATTAGCGCATCAGCAAAACTTCCCCCAGCGCCCAGAGCTGAAGCGGCAGAGGCGAGCTGCAACAGGGAGGGAGGAGTGGAGGGAGGGCGGGCATGAGAGGGGGAGGAGTGGAGGTAGGGCGGGCATGAGAAGGGTTGGGACAGGATGCAAGGGGATGAGAGGGGGTGGGTGGGAGGGGACTGGTTTGCACTGGCGCATCTGCGAAGCTGCCCCCGTCGCCCAGAGCTGAAGGTGGCAGAGGCGAGCTGCAACAGGGAGGACGGGCATGACAGGGGTTGGGAGGTAATGGAAGGGGTGGGAGGGGATGGGATCACTGCGCTGCTGCATACTCTCTTATCCTTGCCCTTTCTCTTTCCACATATGCAAAGCAAGAGAGGGAGAAAAGAAACGGGTGGGGTAAGGGTAGAGAAATGGGAGGAGGAGGGGAGGGGCGAAAGTCAGAAAGACAGAGAGAAAGACAGACAGACAGATGGACGGACAGACGGAGTAGCAAACAACCTCGCCACTTCCTCCCGCCATCATGCCAACTTCTCCCACTCTCCTGCCACTTCCTCCCGCGTTCCTCCTACTCTTGGTCGGTCCCACATCTTAATGCATGAGCGAGTGTAGGAGGAATGCGGGAGGAAGTGGCAGGAGGGCGGGAGGAAGTGGCAGGAAGGCAGGAAAAAGTGCCTGGAAGGCGGGAGAAAGTGGGAGGAGGGCGGGAGGAAGAGGCAGGAGGACGGGATAAAATGGCAAGAGGGCGGGCGGAAGGAAGTGGCAAGACGGCGAGAGACAGACAGACAGACAGACAGACAGACGGACAGACAGACAGACAGACGGACAGACAGACAGACAGACAGACAGACAGACAGACAGACAGACAGACAGACGGATACATGCACCTGGGAGCACAAGCATGCTCCACGGGCGTCAAGGAAGAGGGTGAGGTCATGAAACGAGAGCTCTTTCATCGGCGCCAGCGCTGCCACAAGTACTGCGTGCCCCCCCCATCCCTTCTCCTTCTCTCTCACCCCACAAACCCACCTGGGCGCACAAGCATGCTCCACGGGCGTCAAGGAAGAGGTCTCACTCACACCCGGCCACTGCACACCAGCAGCAACAGACAGACAAAGACACGCGCACCCACATACACATACACCTGGGAGCGCAGGCACTCTACTGGTGTCGAGGAAGAGAGCTCTTCCGTCACCGCCACCGCTGCCAGTGCTGCTGCGTACTCTCACTCTCTCACATTTCCACCTCAATCTCCACTCCACATACAGAGGGAAGGAGCCACACGCACACACACACCTGGGAGCGCAGGCATGCTCTACGGGCGTCGAGGAAGAGAGAGAGCAGGTCGTGGGACGAGAGCTCTTCCATCACTGCCACTGCTGCCAGTGCTGCTGCGTACTCTCCCACACCTGCTGCCGGAATGCGGGATGCATCATGCAGGCACTCCCTGCTCCTCTCAACGATCTGATACAGGGGGTTGTGGGAATGAGTATGAAGAGGGGGGAAGGACACGAGTCAACAGAGGGGGAGTGCGGAATTGTGTGCTCGCCCACACCGGCCGCTGGAATGAGGGATGCGTCATGCAGACACTCCCTGCTCCTCTCAACGATCTGGAAGAGAAGGGAAAGTGTGGGGGGATAATGTGTGTGTGCGCAAGGCAAGGGGTAGCTGAGTCGTTCTATAGAATGCAGTTGATGCTGCGTACTCTCCCGCCCCGG